CTTAATTTATAAAATTAATGGAACCCCCCCTTTCAATATCAAAAAAGTATTTTTCCACTAGAGCTAGTCAGACTGCTCTTTGAAGTTCATGTGCTCATAAAGTTCTGGAAAACCAACACGGAAGAACAATTAAGAATGTGCTGGGAAAAGGGGCCGTGAATCACACTGGTAGAGATTGGAGGTCCTAAATGCCTTCCTGTTTAAAACAGACCAAACAAACTGTGTTGTTTGTTGTGAACTAGACAGGCATATGGGGGGAATAAACTAGAAGGTTGAGAAATAGACCCAAGTATGAATTGAAATTAGTTATTTGGTAAGAGAGAAATCTCAGTGTTGGGTATGGGCTTTAAATAAATCACATTGAGATACCCACATGGCCACTGGGACAGGATTAAAATGGATCCTTCACACCATACACAAGAATACGGGTGGATCCAAGGTCTGAAACTATCCACATTGTTTTCTACCAGTAACTAGTGGCCAAGTAGAACCTGTACAATGTATAGTCTGTTGTGTGTATTGCCTGACCAGGGGTCCTTATGGCTGACACCCTTGTGCTCTGCTGTGTGCTGTGGACCCAGGCATTCATCTTTTGGTCATGGCCCTGAAGCAGAACTATTTGTACTGGTTCTCATGCATCAGCTTTAACCACAGCTCCACTCTGTAGATCTTTAGTGCCCATACTGACTCCTTGATACATGATATGACCCTTTTTTTCCAAGTATGGAACTATATTTTTGTTATTTTGTGGTACCCTTAATACTCTTACCAATCCCCAAGGCTTTGAAGAAGTAAGGATTTTGGACACAGTAGCTATATAAGTGGTACCCAGCTGATGAGCTGATCAATGTTAACTTCCATGGTGCTAGCCTTTAAAAACGGATTAGTCAGATCTTTGCTTGTCTTTGAAGAAATTCATTGTTCACCAGTGTGAGATAGTTTTGTTCTAGTAGTTAATTTAGCCTTATTTAAAACCCATTTGAGACCCTTGAGGAGAGAGGGAAGAACCCGGGTCACTTGAGATGCCAGTGGGAGAGGCAAGAGGCAGTGAGATTCCCGGACATGGTGTCCTCAGGCAGGTGGGTCTTTGTGGGATGAGCCATGAGGAGTGAGACTAAAGAAGGCAAGTGACTGGAGGCAGGCATCTGCTCTGAAGGTGACTCCTCCACTTTCCCACCAGAACCTACACCCAGACTCCTTGCAGACTACAGTCCTGTCCTGTGCATGGTCCAGAAACAGGTACCCTGAGCCTAGTTAGGCCATCCTTTCTCAGAAGACCCATGTGCAGACATGCTGATATGTAGCTGGTCTCCGTCGGTTTGAGCCCACAGTGCTCATACTTGCCTGACCCTAACCATGTGGAGGTAGCCAGCTCAGCATGCTCTCAAGCAAGGACTAGACAGCTTTCATGTCTAGCTGCTCTTCTTTCTCCTCAGAAAGGCCGGTTTTTCTCACAAAAAGGCCAGTTTTCAGCTAGTTCTTAGAATTCTGGTAGGGAGATCCCAAACATGTCAGAATTGCCCACATAGTGACCACCTTGGCTGCAGTGGAGTCCTCACATTCACTGGGGACTTCCACCACCACGCCGTGCTTTGGCTTGTGTGCTTGAATTTTGTGAACTCCCTAGTATTCCCAGGTAAAATGAAGACATCTTGAACTGACCTGGTGGCAGCTGTGACCAGAGGCCTGTGGTTGAGGCTGCGACGGTTTGCTGGGCTCCAACAATTCTTGCTCAAACTTTTCTTCCCAGTAAACAGCTAGGCAAGGCTGTGCCCCAGGGAAGGCATGGCCTCAGCATTCCCTCCTGCCGGCTGGCCTCCGAAGTCACCTCTCAGCTAGTGTGGCCCATGGCACCCCCCCCTCCCAGTTCTGCTTTGCATGCTGACTAAGGCATTTTATACAGAACAGCAGCAGTGAAGTTGGGTGGGTGTGGAGGCCCAGCAGCCCCTCCCCTCAGCTGTCCCCCCAGCCCCAGAAAGTGCCATGAGGAAAGCCATTCCACAGTGAGACCTTGAGACCCCATGGACCCTCATCTGGGATGGAAGTCAGCACCTGTCACAGGTTTGAGACCTGGACTTGCTGGACTGCCAAGTGGGCTGAGAGCGGCTTTTTGCATTTTTCAAGGATTTGTAAAAAAATTAAAAAATTTAAAAAAGAGAATATGCAACAGAGACGGTATGTGGCCCCACAGCCTAAAGTACTTATCACCTAAATTTACAGGGAATCTGGCCACATCTGGTCTAGTTGATTGGCTCAAAATAATAAGGGTTCATCTGAAATGGACAGACATTTTGAAGATGTAGAAACAGCAAATAAGTATATGAAAAAGTGTTCAACATCACTGGTCATTCATGAGATGCAAGTGAAAACACTGAAGACTCCAACAACAATAACAAAATAACAAATGCTGGTGGGGCTGTGGGTTCTTCTCCACTTCTCCACTGCTGGTGGGAGTGTAGACTGGTGCAACCACTGTGGAAATCAGTGTGGAGATTCCTCAACAAACTAAAACGAGAGCTCAAGCATTTTTAAAGAAAACCCTTTTCTTCTTTACTAACCTTAGAACAGAGTTTCTCAGCCTGGGGCTGTTAGGTAGGGTCTGGGGCTGGAGCATTCTAAGCTGTGGAGCTGTGCACCCCAGGGTGCTGACCAGCATCGCAGGCCAGGAGCGGCCCCTCCAATTGTGACAGTCAAAATCACCCCTCGTTGAGAACCACTGGCTTAGAATAATTCATGTACGCTTACTACAGAGGTGTCTTGCCTAACTTTTAGCTGTTGCTGAAATGACTTGGGCACAGAGACATCTTCGTTTCAGGCACAAGTCTCCTAGGATGGAAGTAGCAGTGGGACAAAGGACCTACAGAGCAGAAGTGTTTGGTGTCTGTAACTAGGTTGTTAGGGTTTCTTGGAAAGCTAATTGCAAAGTACAGCTGATCTATGTAGACTTCACAGACTGTGAGAATATACTTTCTTCGCTGGAGACTGATCCCTTTTATCTGGTAGAAGCAGGCAGTTAAATCAGTGACCTTATTTTGGCGTAAGATTGAAAGGTTGCAAAAAGGAAAATCCTGCCAGTTTCTCTTAGGATCCAAACACTTCAGAAATGGTAGACATAGGTCAGGAGTAGCAGAGTGTTGATGCCAAAGCACAGTGATTTATTATACTCTAGTGTTTACCTTGTCTAAGTTGGAAATGGTTCCATAATAAAGTCTTTGGAAAGAAGATTGTAGGCGGGTGATAGTTTGGAAACACTGCTTTATTTAAGAGATTTACCTGCTGGAGGACATTTGGTGAATTTGAAAGAATTTTCAGATGAGGGCTGCCATGAAGTTTGGGGAATGTGGAAACAAGTATATTGCTAGGATTGCCCCTTTGATTTTCAGGGAATCAATCAGGTTTCAGCTATAGCAAGAGAGGGCATATGGAAAGAGCCAGTGCTCTGGGAGGAGCAGCTCTTACTGAATCCCAGAAGCCCTGCCATGCTGGGATTTGGGAAAGTCTAAGTGGAGCTGGTACCTTGAGGTTTCTGCCCTTACCTCAGAAATGGAGGAGGGGCTAATCAGAACACATCTTTGGTTGCATGGATGTTACTAGATTTATTTTTTATCAAAAGCAGTTGTTAGAAACTTTTCAGTAAAGTTTTAGCCCACAGACCTGCTTTTAATATAAAATGTTGACAGTGTTCTGTGTGACTTCAGGGCCCTTCTTTTTGCAGCACTTCAGGTGGGACCCCTTATCTGGAGTCCACCTCCTGAAGATCTTGCTTCCCAGAGGGATGACTGGCCTTCTCTTCCTGGAGCCTTTCTAGGGGCACATTTCCAGTCACTTCTCAGCAATTCACACTATATTGTGGTGTGTTCATCCGGGTTGACTATGTCACAAGCTGCTCACAGGAATGGGTATGGAGGAGACTTTAGGACTGGGGCTCTAGGGGTTATGTAGTCCCTAAGAATGCCACGTGTTGCAGGAAGTTTGGCCCATATGTACATATTTTTAGGAAGAGGGGTCTATAACTTGCAGGTTTTGTAAGCCACATAGTTCAAGGATCATTGCCCGAGATGGCAGATAGTGAAGATCCCAGCCTCAGTACAGACTTTGAAGCTCCCTGCTGTGGCCAGCCCTGGGTCTTTGCTCTCTGCCCAGCTGTCATCATCCATCTTTCTTTGTCGCCTTTCCTGGTGGACAAAAAAAGTCCCTCTGTGGCTGTTTTTCAGCTGCCCCCTCAACATAATACTGGACGGTCAGGAAGGGCGTACAGAGAAATACTTGTATACCAGAGGATACAGAGGTGCTAGTGTTATTCTTGGTCAAAGGGCAAAAACACTGCTGGCTTTTTTATATCTCCTTGTCTTCTCCCACCTTTCTTGGTTGTACCGCCTTTGTCCACCCAGGATTAAGTCCCGCATGAGTAAATGATGTTTCTCTAGCGGTCAGGTGTCCATTGTACAAACACCGTCAGAGAGCCAGCCAGGGGTGGGATGGGCCTGGAGAGGGTTCTTAGTGGCAAGGACCAGCCCCTGGAGCACATAGGTTCCAGCAGTGGGTGGGCAGCTTGTGGCAGGCCATGTAGAGGGCCGCCCCTGACTCTGGCTGGGTGTCTTTCCTCTTTTGCAGATCCTCCAGTCACTCGATGGGGATTCACAGAGGACCACCTGTGTTTGTCACCTTCCCACCTCTCTATAGCAAGAGAAGTGACTGCAGCGCCTCTTCAGTAATGATGATGAAACTGGTATTAACTGAGTGGCATTTATGGATTTTTAACTCTAATTCGCAGTGAACCAGCAAGCCATATGTTTACAGTCCAACCAAAAACCCTCTGTTTGCTGCGTGTCTCCTGCAACGCGGAGAAGCTGAGACACCCATTTGTACAAAGAGGAATATAAGTGTTGCCTGCCTGAGGAGCTCACCTGGAGCAGAACGAGACGTCTTAATTTATCATTAAAGAGATATGATAGTATTATTTATATAGTTAGAATATATATATATATTTTTTGGTGGTAATGAAAATGGCTCCACAGAATGCTGACTCAGAATCTATGCAAGTGCAAGAGTTACCTGTGCCCCTGCCAGACCCACAGAAACCTGGAAACCCGGAGACCGAGAACCGAGATGAGACCATCAGTGAGGGGTCCATAGACCGAATCCCCATGCGCCTGTGGGTGATGCATGGGGCAGTGATGTTTGGCAGGGAATTCTGTTACGCCATGGAAACAGCATTGGTCACACCCATACTGTTGCAGATTGGTAAGTGCTACACAGGTCTCCGTGTCCAGCATGGCACTGACGGTGCTGCAGGTGCTCGACCCGAGTGTCCTCAAAAGCCTTGACTTGGGGTCCTAGTCCTCTCTACCTTAACCTGCTGTAACAGTCTCTTCCTCTGTTAAACTCAGCCAGGGGATATGTGGCCTGGTGTCAATCTCTAGTCACAGGTTTTGACAAGAGGGGTGGTTGAGCATGTGGACATTCTGGGTGTCAGTATCTGTGCTGGGACAAGGCACGGTGCCTGGCTGTGGCCTGAGGCAATGCTGGCTTCTCTATTGTTCTCTATCATTATCATCCTTGGTTTCAGTTTTAATTCATTGTGATATTTAGGTGGCCGAGTGACACTCTTTGAAAATATATGATTCATGGGGTTGCTTGGCTTGGCACAATGGAGCCCAGCCTGGTGACAGTGCTGGTGACCTTCCTGACTGCCACTGGGGAGTGGCTGTGGGGCCAGAAGTTTTATCAAAAGGTTTAGCCTTCCCTGTGGTCTCAGAAAGCTTTAAAATCTGTAACTTTGCAACTCCTCCTTAGCCTTATAAGAGATAGGAGCTGAGCCATTGAAGAGCTTCACTTTTATTCCACATAGACTTCCACATAGACAAGGTAAAATATTCTAAGAGTTGATTTTGGTTGTTTTAAACATATTTCTTGCCACAAATGTAACTGTTTTGTTGAGTGAGAGCTGACCCAGCCCCATCACTTATGCACAGTGAAGTGCATGGTCCTGAAGTCCAGGGCAGTGGCCTCTGGTGGTGTCAGTTTCTGTCTCAGGTCTCTAGTTCCTGTGCCCGCCCAGGTCTGTCACCAGACAAATTGGTGGAGACTACTCACGATGCTTTAGCACTTCCGATGTCAGCATGCTCTTCCCTCTAGAATTATGTGTGTGTTTCATTTACTTCTCTCCAAAGCCCTTGTTCTGAGAAGAACTCACCAAGTGGCCTGCGGGATTAGGCACGGACAAGATCAGGATCCCCTGCAGGGCTGGGGAGTTGTGGAGCATGATCACTTGTGTCACTCAGTTCTTTCTTGTCACTGCGTTTCTTCTCTTGTTCCTTGGTGCCCCATGCTGGGACACTGAAATGGACAACACACCACGTCTGTCCTCTTGTGGCTTAGCCTGGTAGAGGAGGCAGAGACAACTGACCAGATCCACAAGGGCTACTTTAAAAGTAGCCTGAGGGAAAGAAACAAAGACTCCCCTGGAAGATGGAGACACCAGCTTCTCCAGGAAGGGAAGAAGGCGGCATGCCCAGAGGGAGGGGCCTCAGTGTGTCCACAGGCAGCCCCAGTGAGGAGAGTTTGGGATGTGACGTTTATTTTGGCCCGTCGATGTCTAAGGACTTGCTCAAACCATTGTGCAATGCAGGTGGCTAGAATCGGACCTGTCCTTCAGTTCTGGATTACCTCTTAGGGTTATGGTGACTGCTGAGGGATTGACCCAGTAAACAGATGTCTGAGAACTCCAAGTTCCACAATTTCTTTGTTGTACGTTATGTGTATTATGGCTTTGAAACTGACATGCACAACTCCTTGGAATTTTCACACTTTATGGGTTATGAGCCTCAATTCCATATACTTTTAGCACACTTCATTGTTTGACTTTGAGTACAGTAAGTCCCCGATTTATGAACATTTGAGTTGTGAACTTTCACAGGTGTACTGTATAGGACTCACTTTGTCTGATTACCAACAAATTTGACTTATGAATGTTCTCCTGGTATGGAACTTGTTCGTATGTTGGGAACTTACTGTAGTTATTACATGAGATTTGTATAATTTCAAGTAACTGAGAATAGTGTGTGTTTTACAGTATATTGAAAGTAGCTTTCCTGAGTTCTAGTTATGTCTGCTCCATATCAAATTCCAGAAATGATGACTGAAATAGGGGAATTGTAATAAATGAGTAGGCCATGACAATCTGACCTTAAGGGATGACAGTATCTAGTATCAGCCCCAAACACTACATAACTCACATAAACCTGCACACTCAGTCTGTGTGTAACAGGACTTGTGGGTAGGGCTGGTACTGGGGATTGAACCCAGGCCCTTCCCAATGAGTTACATCCCCAGCCCCTCCCCACCTTTTTTAAGACAAGGATTCTCAGGCTGGGGATTTAGCTCAGTGGTTTCGCCACCTGCTGCGCAATTGCAAGGACCCGAGTTTGATCCCCGGTACCAAAAAAAAAAAAAAAAGGACAAGGACTCTCTAGTGGCTGCGTTGCCCAGGCTAGGCTCAAACTTGCAATCTTTTCTGCCTCAGCCTCCCAGAGTGCTGGGATTACAGGCATGGCCCACAGTCCTGGCTATAATTTGTATTTGAAATAATTGGGTGATAGCAAGTCTGTTCTTTCTCATTCAAAAGATTGATTCCCCAGGGAAAACTTTCTCATTGAAAACTCAAAAGCAAAACACCAAGAAGTGGGTTAGCTCAGACTCTGCCACCATAAAAGGTAGCAAGAGAATTGTGCTCAACTGAGGAGTAGTCAGCTGAGAATATGCAGAAGATAGTCCATCTCTGACAGTTCTCTGAAGGTAGCAAACTTATACCTCCCTGTGATGAGTGTGCTATTCCCACTCGGTAAGTTGTCTTTTGTTCTTAAAATGTCAGTGGTAACACTGCTTGATGAGCCCGGTTAGGGGTTGTGCCACATCGCTGTCCCCCAGAGTGACTCCTGTAAACAAAGGCTGTTGGGGTGCCCCATGGTGAGGAAGTTCCTCCTGCTCACTGCCCATGATCTTGTAGCTGTTGGGAACCAGTGACTGCTGACATCTGTGTGGCAGGCTACTTCCTAGGCCTGGGAGGAAGGAGGCCCTTGATATGGCAGAGGAGGTGGTGGGTGTGACAGGAGAGCAGGGTCGGGCCTTAGCAGGACTAGCAGGACTGGCTCCCTCTCTGGGTCCTGCACGCTTGGGACCTGGCTGGCTGTGAAGAGGACCAGATGTTTGCACTGGAGGGCCACCTGCATATGCAGGGAGGGTATGGGCAGCACTGTCAGATGAGCAGGCTGGGCTTGGCACCCTGGAGCAGCCTTGCCTGTGGTTTCTAAGCCTTCACTTGCAGGGGAAACTTTGAAGATTTTCTTTTCTTTCCTTTTTCTTTTTCCTTCTTTCCCTTCCCCTTCCCCTTCCCCCTCCCTCCCTCTCTTCCTTCTTTCCCTTCCTTTCTTCTTCTTTGTCTACCCCCCCAACAGTGGGGATTGAACCCAAGGCCTTTTGTGTTTTTTTGAAACAAGGTCTCACCTAGGCTGGCCTTGTGCTTGGATTCCTCCTGCTTCAGTTGATCTGTTTTCTTAAGTTGAGAACGTTTTCCCCCAATTCAGAGTTCGGAAGTTACATTGAGTTGGACAGTGAGGTCTCTTCCCACTCCGGTCCCCCAGCCATTTGGCTCCCGTCCTGTATCTCCTGGCTCCTACATGGAATACAAGCTAGGTAGGCATCTTTGTGCCTCATCTCTGACCCCCAAAGTGACTCTTGTAAAGCATCTGTAGCATATCATGAAGCTGATTCCATGCTAGAGCAGAAAGCTTGCTCTTTTTAACCTCAGAGCTGCCTGTTAGTCTGCACTTGGGAATGGGCCTCTGTGGCTGTGTCCGGGAGTGTCCCTGGCTGGCCTTGCTGCAGACTGTCCCTTGTCTTAGTTACTTTCTCATGGCAGGGACAAAATACCTGACACCCACAAATTGAAGGAGGAAAGGTTCATTTTAGCTCACAGTTTGTAGAGGTTTCAGTTTGTAGTCAACTGGCTTCAAGGTATAGAGCAGCATGGCCAATGGACATGGCAGAGGAGATACGGTTCATGACAGGAAGGCAGGAAGCAGCCAGACTTCTTTCTTCTTTCCCTTTTTATCCCATCCAGGCTATAAGTCGCTTGGTTAGTGCCACCCACACCCAGGGTGAGTCTTCCCTCTTTAGTAAATCCATCATCCACACCCAGAACTATGCTATGCCAATCAGTGGACAAAGTCAGTATCACACACACCCGTAATACACTATCACACACAAACCTAGGATCCATCCACTCAACTCCCAAAAGCCCCGCCTATGAGCACATGATACTTTAGTGGGACATCTAGATAATAAGCCTAACATTCCTTCAGTCAATACCACAGCTTCCTTGCCTGTTTGAGGTGCCACTGTTCCTGTGGACTAAATTTCCATACCATTTATTGATTGGTTCAACTTTTGAAAGAGACTTTTAAAAATATAAGCATTCTTAGGCCCCAGGCTCTAGGATTCAAATTGAGACAGAGTGGTACCTAAAATTCTGTTTTGGCTTTGTTTTGGTTGATACCTGAATGGTTTTTGATGGGACGTACAGCCCTGCTCTAGAGAACAGAGGAGGTGAGGCATTACTCTGGGCACCTGTGGAGAGGTCTGGAAGGCAGAGCAGGACCCTGAGAAGTTCCCCAGTGCACACACTCCCCTCCACAGCTGGCGGTAGACGTGCCATTTACACATCACTGCAGTTGCAGAGCAGGTGACTAATCTGCCAGCTCAGTGTCCTGTTAGAATGCCTGGCCATGTTTAACAGGAAGGCTTGGAAGCAGAGGGCTCTGTAGCCCTCTGAGTGGCCCCTCCTGGAGAGCCAGCAACTCTGAGTCAGCTCGCCTCAGTGGGTACCCTCCCATGCTGGTTCCCATGTAGTCTTTTTCCCTTGAGAAGGAGAATCCAGCCTCCCCCTCCACTTATTGTTTCCCTCCTGGCTCAGGAAGTATACTCAGGGGAAAAGGAATGTCAGATAACAGAAAGGACCAGCTTTTATTGCTGGCTCTGGGTTTGACTCATGAACAAGAGCTGGGTTGGTATAGGGGAACCTGCTGTTCCCCTCCTTGACAAAAGCCCGGTGCAGCAACTGTAGGAATTGTCAGGCAGTGGCTGCAGACTTACTTATGGGGAAAGTCATACTTATTCTGTACTGCATGCAGAAGGTGGAGAATAATGCCCAGGATTTATGTCCACTTTGTGAACGTCCACTGAGT